TCTACTAACTTTATATAACCTAATTTCGAATCTCAATGTGGCACTCAATGATTGGATCGGCTATTATGCATGTTTGTAGACGAATGTAATAGAGACGGGTGTGGATCCAAAATATACGAATAATATAACAAAACTTATTATTAAATTGAAAATGAACCTCATAGTAAATGCATTTTTGAACTTAGAGATAATATTCTTTAGGTAATGCCTGATGCAAATCTTTGGTTAGCACCACGGAAACAATTAACTATACAGAACTCCTTAGGAAAAATAAATTTATTAATCAGAGTGTCTAAATTCTTTAGCAATGTCTCCTTGATATTCTGCCTTTTTTGTAGACGCTAACAAACAAAGCTCACCTTATGCTGCCCTTGGCTTTGAAAGCAAAAAGCTTTAATGAGTGTTCCTATTTTTGGTTTTTATTCCATGAAACTAAGGTTTATTTTTGATTCAGCAATTTATCGTTTCTATTATTCTAATGGTTATACGTTTAATTAAGTTTCTGCATAAATATAGATTGACATTAGCATCTTGAGTAGGCGGATATTATGAGGTGGGTTCTCCTTGACTTCATATGAGACTGCCATCATTTTTACAGGTTATTCATATAAAATTAATCTAAGAAAACAAAGAGGTAGGCCTGAAAGCTCTTAGAGAGAGGTTGACAAGTTTATTTGCAGAAAAGTTAGTTAAGGAAAGGCGAAAAGCAAAGATTTCTTCCTAAGTTTCTAATAAAACTAGGGGATAACAAATAATCTAAATTCCATTTGTTCATTTATATTTAATTTAAAAACTATACTATGTACAGAAGCATTACTTGTTTCCACAGATCTCTTAATATCTGTTCAGGGGAATGGTCTGCCGGATTTAATTCAAAGCAGACGACAAAAGCATCATGGTTCAAAGCAGCTTTATAGACCCTACAGAAAAGTGAAACGCACCCGAACAGCTTTCGCCCCAGATCAACTCCTAAGCCTGGAAATGGCATTTGAAAAAAACCATTACTTAGTCGGACGTGAGAGGAAGGAACTCGCAAATAATCTTTTTCTAACAGAAACACAGGTATGTGTAATAGAATAAAAGTTTTGCTCTATATATAATCTATAGCTGATTATAGAAGTTGTTTGACCTATTTTTCGCATCTTGGTCATATTGGTAGGAAGACTTAAAGGAACACACCTAGTCCAGAGTCCATAGTATGCATGACAATTTCCTTTCCTATCGCCTTGGGCTAATCACCAATCCTATATACTCGTATCATTCCTTCACTATCAGAATTTTTCATTTGGATATTTGAATGTGGCATGGTGTACACTTTTGAGCGGATTTCATGAGAACTCTCAACACCCCCCGCTGGCTTTGTCATCCCCGTTCACCCTTCTTCTGGGAATGCTGATCAGAGTCTGCTATATTGTTACGCATTCCTTTTTCCACAGGTCTTATCAGAGTCTACCTCTTGCCCCGTAGGATCCATCTGCTATTTTCCTGGTTTAAGTATTTCACTCGACCCCTGCCACCCTATCTGTGCTATTTGAGGCGTGATTTACCATACTTTGAGTTTGGGAGACTAAATTGAGGCTAAATAACCCGAGTAATTCTCATGGTCAGACCTTTGCTTCATGGACCACGTCTATGATCAAATACGTTTACTGTTAGCCAATTAATTATAGTCTTCATCGCATCTGTCGTGCTTCTATCCATAGTGCCAAGTCTATGACCTCCTATTTCCTTGTCTCTACTTGTGGTCTAACTAGTTTTGATTAGTTTCAATGTAGGACCACAACATTTGTGGGTTTGCACACAAAATACTAGAGCAAAGGAAGTCATAGACTTTGTAGCATGGATAGAACGATGATAGACGCGATGTAAACTATAGCTAATTGGGTTGCAGTAGACCTGTTTTGCCATAGACGTGGTCCATAAAGCAAAGGCCTGACAATGAGAATTACTCGGGTTCTTTAACCTCAATTTAGTCTCCCAGACGCAGAGTATTTTAACTCACGCTTCAAGTAGCACAGATAGGGTGCAAGGGTCAAGTGAAATATTTGAACCCCAGAAATACCAGACGGATACTACGGGGCAAGAGGGAGACTCTGATAAGACCTCTGAAAGAAGGAATGCGTAACAATATGGCAGACTCTGATCAGCATTCCCAGCACAAGGGTGAAGAGGAGTGAGGGGGTTGGGAGATGTGAAAGCCAGCGTGGGTTGTTGAGGGTTCTCATGAAATCCGCTCAAAAGTGTACACCATACCACATATAAATATGCAAGTAGAAAATTGTGATAGTGAAGGAGTGATACGAGGATATAGGATTATTGATTTGCCCAGGGCGGAAGTAGAGATACCACAATTGTTTAGCAGACAATTGGTCAAAGGATCGGCTTCACTTGTCGTTTTGACGAGTTGTAGTGTGGTGTTAAGACTGACAATGCTCACTGACGATGCCGGCGAAGCGCCTGTGAATGTACTATGTACATGGTCCGACTATAAAAATTATCATGCATACTATGGATTCCTGACTAGCTGCGTTCCTTCAGGCCTTTCTACCAAAATGACCAGGTTGCGAAAGCAAGGGTAAACAACCTCTATACAACGAAACGAGACTGCTACTATCCAAAAGGCCATACCATCTTGGTCTTCATGCCTTCGATATAACTTAGTATAATTGAAAATCAAAAAGATTTACTTGGAACATCGTTATTTACAATGCTCTATATGGGTACACGTAAGGAGAACAATACCAATTAATAAAGTTAATTAAAATATATGATTTATTCTTGATAGACATCAAATAATTGCAAAGATGAAATGTTCTTCTCTAAATATTTTATTTGAATTTTGTCTAAGTACATATAAAATTAAATAAGTTGACATGGTGTCACAAGCAAGACTCGCCAATCATATCTTTCAAAATTGGGTTGATCTCGTTGTCGCAACTTGGTCTTGT